TGGGGGGGATGGGGGGCAAAAGCCAGGGGGGTTTCTGGGGAGAGGAGGAGGGGGTCTAGGGTGGCTGGGTGGGCGAGCAGAGAAATGGGGAGGACATCCTGGATGGTTGTGGAGACAGGTGGAGGGGAAAGGGGTGTCTTGCTTAAGGTGTGTGTGCGGGGGGGGTAAGAGACAGAGAGGGGGCTGAGGTGTCCTGGAAGTGGGGTGGTCGGGACACTGAAGAAGAGGGGGTTTTCTTGGACAGGTGAATAGAAACAGGTGTGCTGGGAGGAGGGTTGTGGGGTGAAAGACATGGGATGTGTTTTGGAAGGAGAGGGGAAAGGAGATGGCTTGGGAGTGTGAAAGGAGGGGATGGGGGTGTCCTGGAGGGACAGGTGAGGGCTGAGAAGATGGATTCCCCCGCCAAGGAGAGGGGACATGGAGAGGGGTGTCTTTGAGGGGGGCATCCATCTTCTTGCCCCCTCACCTGTCCCTCCAGGAGACCCCATCCCCTCCTTTCACACTCCTAAGCTATCACCTTTCCCCTCTGTGTGTGTGTGTCCTGGAGGTTCAGGGAGGGAGGGAGAGACTAAGATGGGAATATCTTGAAAAGATAAACAAGAGAAAGTAGAGTTGTCTGGGTGGGGGGGAAAGGAGTATCATGGGAGCATATATGAAATAGAAAGGGATGTCCTATGGATGGTGTGGGGTGAGAGAGTGGGGCAGACTCTTGGGCATACAGTGGATGTGGAAAGGGGTCATCCTGGGTGTGTGGAGCCATGCCCTGGGGGTTTGGTGCTAAGGAGCACTTGGGAAGGGACGCCTGTCTTTTCCATGTCATAGAGTTTGTCCGCTGGGGGCTTGATTATAGGCTGGTGTCCATGGGTCATTTGACACCGGTAGGAAACAGAAGGGGGAAAGGAAGCTCTTGACTCACGTGGGTGGGGGAATATTCTGTGAGGCAGAAAAACCAGAAGGGAACTGAGGAAGGACGGTGTGCATCCGTTTGATGGGAAACAACTGAGTGTTGCTGGAGTGGGATGTATTTGGTGGGTGTTTTATACAAAATTGACCAATGTGGAAACCACATTGCCAGAACAGAACTTCACCACGGAGCAATTCAGAAATGTTTTTAAATCCAAGAAATAGGGCACTGGATTCCCCTTCTGGGTGGCACTAGAGGGACGGAGAAAAACTTATGCGTATGAGGGGCTGATCCTGACAAGAGCACCTTCTCTCACATTTGCCCCTCCGAAGGTCTCTCACATGTTGTTTCCCGCTGTGTTTTTCTCCATTCTTGATTCTTTTTTTAAAAATAGTTCTCCTTCTGTGTGTGTTCCAATCTATCCCAAACTTTCTGATTTTTGCTAGGTTGTCTCTTTCCCCTTGAATAGTTTCTGGGAAATCCTTTGCAGGACATCCTTTCCTCTGTCCACCCACCCATGGCTTTTCTGCTCAAGGGAGTTCCCCGCTTTTGCACCAAACGGGTGCCTAGGCTTTTGCTTTTCACTGAAACCTTTCCTTTCCTCTTTCGTTTCTTTTAAGCCTTTGCCCGCCCCCTTCGGTGTCTCTTAGGACATCTTTACTTCCTCGTCATCAGCGCCTTCTGGTTTCCGGCGCTTCTTGCCACCTCACAGCCGCGAGACGTGGGGTGAGGAGGGGGACGAGGCCACGGATAATAAAGCTCCTGTATCCGTGGCGTCTGATCATAAAGGTTATAGGGGGATGTGCGTGTTCAGAAAGGTCTTTTGAACACAATCCTTACAATAAAAAGGATGATGGACCAGTTCAGAGTGGGGCAAAATAAGACCTCCCTGGAGTCAGTCCAATGACATCGGAAGGGCTCGTGCTTTGCCCACCCTGAAACTTTAATCTAAAACTTTGCGCCCCTCGAGTGGCTTCTCCAGGGATCACGGAGCCCAGGGTTGGGGACCCCGAACACCTCTGCCTGTTTTTAAACCACTGCTCTCATCATTCTTCAGTGCTGGTTGCATGGTGCAACACTGATGGGAGCTGGGAGTCTGGCAGCCTCTGGGGTGCCACTGGTCTGCCTGATCTGGTCAAACCCCACCCCGATCAGCAGAGGATATACAATGCAGGATAGGTTTCCAGCATCCTTGACCAGTGGTTTGTGAGCTTGGCTTAAATCCCACCCACCCCTCCATCAAATAAAGCTTCTCCTCCTAATAGGAACCTTGTTCCCTGATGTTTCTTGGCTCACCCAACAGGGTCAATGGTGGCGAAGTCCTGCCCTTTTAGCGTTTAGCCTTTTGTTGGCGGTCTGCTCAACCCTTTTCCAGCCCAACTTTCTGCTTCCACTTCTTTCTGTCGCAAAATCCTCATCTGACCCCCTGAGCGCTCCGTGTTCCTGTCCTCTGTCTTGACCCATTGTTAAGGACGCCGGGGCGGTTGGTTTATTGGTTTCCTGCCAACTTTTTCTGTGGAGTATTGTAATCTCCCCTTCAGACACACACAACCCGGGCATTCCTCCTGTCCCGGGCCAGCCGTTTGAAAAATAATCTGACTTTTCCTGTTACGAATGACTCATTGCTTGCGGATACACCCCTGCCCACACCCAGACAAGTTTCCCTCTCTTCGGTTCCACCCCCACTCCACCCTGACATGAAACTTCTCCATCTCATAATCTCCCTCGGCAGTGCTGTTCCAGCAGGTTCTATCTTTTCCATGAGGATGTTAGATTACTAGCTAGTAATTAAGGACCTCTCTCTTTTTCTTATCTCCTCCACCTGACACAAAGCCATTTGCAGAATGAGCACAACTTCCATGGATCTTAACTGATGACTATATTGTATAAGGCAAATGGGAGTTGTAATCAAAAAAATAACTAGTTGCTGAACTCCAAAACGGCAGTATCTCCTTTTCTTCCTCTTTTCCAAGCACCATCTACCGTTGGGCAGTCCTCCACCCCAGAGGAACATGCAAACATTCCTCTGGCACATCGTGAGGTTAGCTGCTGTTGAGATGGTAGCGGTGTGGGATCTGGGGGCGGGGGGAATAGTTAACAGGTCCTGGTGACCTTCGTTGGTTGGAATGTTTTGAGATGTGGAAAGTCTTGTCATTCCGTTGTTCTGATATACCGTCAACTGTCCTGCTCAGCTCTTGCAAACTCAAAATTTGTGGTTTCCTTGACGGAGTCAGTCCATCTCGTATTTGGCCTTCCTCTTTTCCCGCTGCCTTCACTGGTCTGGGAAGAAACTAACTTTAGGGTTGCTTCCCAACTGTATTGAGCGGCTCTCCTCTGACATGGAAGACAAAATAAGGCAGGAAGAGAAAGCAAAATAAGGCAGGAAGAGTACGACGGAGCCTGAATCAGAGTACAGAATGATCCGCAAATGGACAAGGCACGAAAATCTTTGCCAGTTTGTTTTCATGCCAAGTTTACGATTCATGCTTGGCTGGGCTGCAGCCTGTCCACCGTGACACCTTGCTATATTTTTACCATAGCCCGTCTGCGTAATCCTTTGAGCATCTGACAGACGTGGCTGCTGCTTTCTTTATGAATCATGGTGTTCTCTGACGAAGTGACCCCAGGAGGGTTGACAGTTGTGAGAGCAAAATATGGAGCATGCCTGCAGGCGTGGGTTTGTGCGTGTGTGTAAGAGGAGCTTCGCATATTTGCCAGGCACTGAATGCCTCAGTCATGGTGGACAACGAGAGAAGGGGAATGTTATTTGATTTAAAGTTGGCTGGGTGCTGTGTGACTCCTGTATTTTTGCTGCACGTGGTGCGTGGGCAGTTTTCTTTTCTTTTTTTCTCCACAGCCACGTTCTGTCCCTTGCAAAGAGGGAAGGCATGAAGTACCGTGAGCCCAGAATTGTGGAGGTCTTTGTGCGTTGGCTTGAGTTGGTTGAGGACAGCAGGTATTCGAGGAAAGGCAGACTTAACGCCGCTACTACAGGCGAATGTTACACTTGGCCTTCTCTCCTTCTTGGTCTGGTTCCCAAACATCTTGACTGAAGGAGACCAAGCTATTTTTGACTCTGCCGTTCCCGGAGACTGTTGGGCTTACAACGCCCAGTGGTTAATACGTCCCTCCTGTTCGACCAGCCCCGCCCCCGTGTGTGTGTCTGTGTACAGACATGTTAGCCTACCCTGTCCTTATGACTTCCATAGAAATCGAAAGTATAACCGCTTACATCCCCTTTGGCAGTAATTCCGTACATACTTAACCTGGGAGTAAGTCTTATTAAAATGCAATTAAGGCTTAACGTCTTACCCAGTGCGCTTCACCATTTTGATTCCCCATGAAGCCAGAACACGGCAGGTGCCTTAGAGAAGGTTGATAGAGACGTGGCATGATGCAAAACAGCAAAAGGAAAAACAGTGATCCTTCAGACGCTGGTGAGCTCTGTCGGTCCAGCTGGGCTAAAAGCCTTTTGAGGCCTGGCCTTGCAGGAAAGGGACCCCCGGCCACCAGGCAATGATCTTTCTCCTCCGTCAGGCTTCCCCTCTGTGACTGGCTGCCCAGGGGGGGCTTTTTAAATGGATCATTGCACTTTGCTGCTTTGAGCACTTTTACGGCTTTTTAGTTGCATTTTTAATATTGTTTTCATTCGCTGTGTTGTAGCATAGTGTTTGACCCTTCTCCTGTTTGTATACCCACTGTTTTCAGTTTCTAATATTCTCCTTTGATGGGTCCTTTTAAAGGAGAAAGGCTGGGTGAAAATATTTTAAGCCAATAAAGACTCAAAAGCTTGACAGCTGCTTGCCAAGACCCCTTCCGAAGCGGTGGGAGACTCTGGCTTAGTTCTGCAGCGTCTAAATCCTAAATCCGTTAGGCGCTGTATTCCAAACCATCCCTTCTCTTTCTGTCTTGAATCCACCATTCTGACACAGCCATATCTATTTCCACCCCTCCAATCATACATCCTACAGTTTAAAAAAAAGAGTGACGGGGGGGGAGAGAGAACTGCTCTTCTCTTGCAGCAGAAATCTGCAAATGGATCCCTAGAGGAGAGCAGCCGAGCGACATGGTAGCCTCGTTAATGGTAGATTTACCCTCTCTTTCCTTTCCTTTCCCCCACTTGCCAACAACTGGCTCCGATGCGAGTCGGCACCTGGAGGGGAAGAAGGGCCTGCCGTGGTTTCAGAGCTCAGCCCTTTGACGTCACCGGACCAGCCACCTGCCTCGTGGTTTCCAACCTCTCCGTTTGCTGCCGGTTGTTGAAGCAGGGAAGTGGGGATCGCCTCCTGTTTCATTTGGCCAGCCCTCCTGTGTGCAAATGTGCCTTCCGGACGTCGGGCCAGCGTCTGCTCGCTTGGTGCTAGACTTCCTACAGCGTTGGAACGATTGGAGGGGTTTTTTTGCCCCCTTTATTTGACTGCCCTTTTATGGGGGGGGAATGCCACTTCTGAAGCGTGCCGCTTCAACCCTGCAAGGAGAGGGCTCTGGGTTCGGCATTCCTGCACCCTGGTCGCCAGAATCCCATATTTAAACTGATTTGGTAGGGTGTCTTGGAGAAATGTTCTCAGTCTAAATCACCATCAGGTCTTGGCAACACTTAAGATGGCTTTGCTTGAGGTTTTCCCCAGGTTTGCTAATCTAAGAGCTCTTAAAAACCAAGGTGAAACCTTCGGACCTTGGACCGGCTGAATATTGCTTCTGTTGGAGATAATAGCAGCGGTTTATGCGTGTCTCTGTGTGAGAGAGAATGTGTTCTTTCCTGTTGGAATTTCTCAGCAGCATCACTGGGGGGCGGGAATCGGTTTTTTAGCCCATAATGCAGATAACGGGAAACAGTGTGGCCTTCTGAATGTTATGGCACAACATCACCCATTGTCCATCTCCTTTGGCGATTCTGGTGCGGGCTGGCCGTGACAGCCAGCTGAAGGATTGCTGCCCATAATGGGTTATCAGGAGCCAAGGGTAGGGAGCGGGATATGTTCCCCCCCCAGAAGAAGGGAAGGGGAAGCCACTTGTGAGCAGGGTGGATTTGATTTAAATCAAGCAGATGATTTAAATCATGAGTCAGTAAGATTTGATTTAGGTCATGATTTTTAAATGTCAAGTCTCATCCTTGTGGGTAGTGATAATCTTGGAATATTTGCAACCGTTCGAAGATTTCATATTTGGAATCATAACCTGGCAGGTTAGGAGAAATGCTACCTCAGAACTGATTTTAGTTTAAGAGGTGGATCACTCATATTTGGAGAACTACTGAAATTGTTTTATTTAGCTAAAACAATAACATTGTATTCTTCTGTTTGCTTAAACGTCAATGTTTATTAATTGAAGCGATTAAACAAAAGTTCTTTTCAAAAAGCAAACGATCTTCCAAATGATCTTCAAACCTAGCATTTGAGGTTCAATAAGACCCCCCCCATCCCCACTTATCCACTGACTGAAAATACTAAATAACCCCTGAAATACATATTTATATGTATTTCCAGTGTGTATTTTCCAGAACTGGGCACTAGAGGGATACAGAGACCACACAGTGTATAGCGTTCACTACATCCATGTTTTCTCGCATCCGCTGGGAGGCTTGGAACCACCTCGCGGATACCACGTTCCTACTGTAACATGTTCATTGTTTGTACATTGAGTCGAGGAACAGCAATGGGATTAAAGTCTTATCTGGAACTTTGTTTGTTTTACACCATTTTTACTGTGAAACGGGGCATGTGATCTCAGCTTGAATAACTTGGGTTAATTGAATTAGTCTACTAAATATGTAGAATATTGCATGGATAATGTACAGCCTCATCCTACATCACTAACCTCGGTTTCATGTTGGAGAACCTTTGAACCACAATGTATCTTAAAAAGAAAACTTACCTTTAGATAATTTTTTCCACCCAAAACCATATCATTAAAACAGATCCAAATTAATTTTTTAAAAATATTTTAAAAAATCATTGATTTTAGTCCACGCTGCTTCAGTACTCTTTTCCTTGATTTTAGATTAGGCATCCTTCAGGCTCGAGAGATTATGGGAACGTGCTCTGAAGGGAGGACTTGGAACAGTGTCTAATGTTCCTTTATCATTGAGGAACCTTGGAAAAGGGTCAGAATTGACTTGATGCACAGTTGTTATTTAGAAGCTGAGATCGCATCCAAATGACCAGTGTCTTGGGCCATTTGGAGCATATTTTGATAACATGGGGCATAGGATAGAACTGAGACCACTGCAGGCCAGCTGGGATGGCAGAATTACAACCCCTGCATCCCACCCACCCACCCCCAGTTAATGAACCATAGGCATCCACTGGCTTTCATGTAAAACCCAAACGTAGAAATATATGTGTGTGTGTGTGTGAGAGAGAGAGAGAGAGAAAGAGGGAGAGGGAGAAAGAGAGTGAGAGAGAGACTTTTCCCTCCCACCTCTTGGTTTCTGGAAAGAACACAAACTTATTCTTCCCCCCACACACCCGCCCCGTCCTCAATGAATCAGCAGTGAGTGGTTCCGCTCCTCTGAGTAAGCTGAAGCAGGCACGATTTGTCACGCCGCCCCTGTGATTCCCCCAGCCGCCCCCTCCGTGACTCAGAAAGTATTTTTCTGCTGTTGTCCGCGGGCCGGAAAGACAGCTGTATTTGGAACAGGAGTGGGGTGTCATTGTTGTGATTGCTGTGTGTCACTTCCCAAGCTTTTTCCTGGGGGACTCTCCCGGCCCCCTTTGCAAAAGGCAGCAAGGACAGCAGGCCCTGAACTTACCCGGTCTGCTCTGCTCTGGTTTTAGGGAACCCCCGAGGGTTAATCCTGTGGAAGAGGAGAAAAAGAGAAAGAGACGGTTAGAATGGGAAAATGCAGTGCCTCTGAGCATCTTATGAAGGCAGGAGTTCTTCCGAATGCCATGACTGATCTCAACTGTTCTGTCTGCATCCTTCCAGGCTCTCTTAATGTCAGCACCTTCATTTAGAAGGGGAATATTGGATTTTATTGTTGAGCACTTAGGAGTCAGAAAGCCTTGCTAATCTGTTACGAGCAGTCCCGAATGTGTTTGTAAATCCCCACTCCACTCTTCACAAATATCCTAAGCCTAGGATAAGAGAAACTCCATAAGGATTTCAACTCAAAGTCGTCTTTTTTTTTTCAAAGCAGCATACATACTGAGTCTGCATCAAGGACACAGAGGCACTTGGTGAGGTCAATGTCAAGATCCACACGGTGACCCATTGAACTCTATGCGCCCAGGACACTAGGGGTGGTTCATAGAAAGGTCTGTCCGGTTCTGTGGTCCCACCTTCAAAGGTGTGTTTTCAACTCCAGCGGAGCTGGTTGGAACAATTACGAGTTTACAGACAGACTTTTCCTCTTTAACAGATCGAACTTGCCCACCTTTCTTCTTTCTGGTGTTCATGGGGTTTATTCCATACAAAACCTGATAATAATAGTAATAATATTAGAACTGTGGAGCTGGGAGGGATCCCTAAGGATCACAAAGCTCAGCCCCTGTCAAGGAGGCCCAGCGGGGGGCACTCTTTCTCCCTCTGCCTGCCCTCCCTCACAGGATTGTTGTTTGGAGACTGAAATGAGAAGAAGGAGCGGAGCCACACACACTGCCTGGAGCTCATTAGAGGGGAAAACAGTGTATAAAGTTGACTAATGTAAAGTCAAACATGACCATCTCCAGTTCTGGACACCACATTTTTAAGAAGGATGCCAACAAACTGGAGCAAGTTCAGAGGAGGACCAAAGGGGACTGGAAACCAAGCCCTAGGAGGAAAGTATCAAAGAACGGGGCGTGTTTAGCCTTGAGAAAAGAAGACTCAGAGGAGATAGGAGAGCACTTTTTGAAGACTTGGATCTGTCCTCCATCCTCCCAGAGAGCAGGACATGTCAGAATGGGCGGAAGCGACAGGAAGCTAGATTTAGGCTGAAGATCAGGAAAAACGTCTCAACTGTTAGAGCAGTACGACAACGGGACCCGTGACCTTGGGATGTGAGGGGCGCTCCAGCTCTGGAGGCCCTCAAGAGGAAATGGGACCACCGTCTGTCAGATCTGATTCAATTTAGATTCCTGCCTTGAGCAGGAGTCCTTCATATCATACGGCTCTTTGCAGGCCCCCTTCCACCTCCATCATTCTACGATGCTATGCATGAGAACCAGTGAGTAAAATCTTCTGATGAGAAAATTGCCTTTGGGAAATGTGTGTAGGTTCTGAAGTGGGAAGATTTTAAAGGCCGTGATGGAAAAGAAGTCCCGTAAGTTTTCAGAACACAGCCAAACACCTTCTCAAGGTGGGCAGCGCAGCTGAGAACATATTTTTTTGTGGAACGGGAAGCCACTATGCTGAGGGCTTTCTTCCCGCACTGGTTATCTCTGAACTGATGCCATCGTTGATTGATTAGTTTCTCCCCACCGTGTGAGCAAAGCTGTGACCAGATTGTGAGATTTATTTATATTTTTGGACAGATTCCCCCCCCCAATTGTTCCTCCCACCAACCTCAAAGCTGGACTGGCAAATGCAGGAAGCAGGATCTACTCGGAAATAAAGGGCCTCCCTTTGTGAAGCTTCCCTTCCTGGGGAAGACAGGCTGCTTCCACCCCTCCTGCATGTCGAAAGAAGATGGATTTGACTTAAGAGTGACAGCTGATCAGATGGGCAGTATTAAAAACTGAATAAATAAATAATAAAACCAGGTACAGATCCACCTGAAAGTAGTTGTGAACCCAGGCCCGCCACACCTGCCTCTTGTTCCGCTTCCTCTCCCAGTCAGCCTCCTTATGAGGAATCATGAGACATCACTGTTTGAAGACACTCTTGACTTTCTGGTGCTGAAAGAGGCTTTCCTAGGTTGCTCTTGAATGAAAGGCCCTCAAGCAGGCTGCTTGGATGCTACTACATCTGGGCAGCTTTTCTGCACCAGCGTCCATTCCTCGCTCACTGAAAACAAGAATTGGTGGAACCTTTTCTCCGCTTGGCTTGGGTTGGCATGCATGGCCCCCTCTTCCTTCCTATTTCTCCCCCCCCCCTTGCTGCAGCCCTGTAAAGTGGATTGGTCGGAGGGTAGCTCTGGTTAAAAACAGACAGACCCGTGAGGGAACAAGAGGTCGCTATTTCCTTCCTCTGCTTTTGCAAGTAGCAAGATGGTGCATAAAAACCAACTGAATACAGTATATATAAAATTATCTATCAGTCAGTCCATGTCATTGGTACATTTTTGCCAAGTGTCCCGACTGAAGCCACATATTTCTGCCTCCCCCTCACCCCAATTTCTCTGTTGTTTCAGGACAAACACCACGATGCTGCTCATGAAATCATCGAGACCATTCGGTGAGTGTTTATTGATTGATTGATTCATTCATTCATTTATTGATTTATCACTAAATAAAATAAGTGTTGGTTGGTTGATGATATGCCTCCTTTCTCCCCATAGGGGATGTCCCCAGGCAGCTCACAGTGGATAAAACTGCAAAATACATAACGGCTTTAAAAAGGCTATAGAAATATCATAACTGAAAACAAATTAAACCTATACAGTGGTGCCCCGCATAGCGACGTTAATCCGTTCCAGGAAAAACGTCGCTATCCGGATTCCTCGCTATGCGGGCAAAAAACCCCATAGGAACGTATTAAAACACGTTTAATGCGTTCCTGTGGGGGGTAAGCTCATCGCTAAGCGGGAATCCTCCATAGGGCCGCCATTTTCACCGCCTTGGTAAGCGAGGAATCGGCGCCGGCGGCCATTTTGGAACTGCCGATCAGTTGTGTGAAAATGGGGCCTTTGGAAGGAGCACGGGGGAGGGCTCCCACGCTCCTTCCCAAGTGCCTGCCGGCTTTTTCGGCCAGCTGACCGGCGGTTGCTTCGGAAGGAGCACGGGGGAGGGCTCCCCTGCGCTCCTTTCCAAGCGCCCGCCGGCTTGAGTGCTTCGGAAGGAGCATGGGGGAGGGCTCCCCCGCGCTTCTTCCCAAGCGCCTGCTGGCTTTTTTGGCCAGCTGACCAGCGGTCGCTTCAGAAGGACCACGGGGGAGCCCTCATGGGGCCTATGGGGAAAAATCGCGAAGCGATCACAAAATCCGCATCACTATGCGGATTCGTCGTTAAACGGGGCGCCCGTTAAGCGAGGCACCACTGTATTAAGATTTAAAAGCATTTAATTTTTTTAAAAAAATTATAAGTCAAAACCAACCATTTCTGCTTAACCTCACTGCTTAAAATGTACACTGTATTTATATTTAATGTAAATCGAGGAGCTCTTTCTTCTACCCTCTGATGTAGAGGAAGGAGCCTTATACTAGGAAAAGAGTGTTCGAAAGTAAACATTTTGAAATCAGGAAAGGGTATTCAGAAAGTAGAGAAGAGAGGGCCCTGTTTTTACTGAGATCGGATGCCCGATGCCTAATAACCGCATCTTCTAAGACAGTATGTTTTAATTCTTCTCTCCCTTATCTGGATCTAGAAATGTGGTTTCTGGGTTCCTTTGACAAAACGCAGAAAACTGCGGAACGTCAAGTCACACTGAAAAAGAGAAAGGACACAGGAGGAAAGTGGTGAAGCGGCTTTGGAAACTTGTCTCTCAACTTTCCTTATCCTTCCTCTGTTTTTCTCCCCCCCAGGTGGGTCTGTGAAGAGATTCCAGACCTCAAGCTTGCAATGGAAAACTACGTGCTAATTGACTACGATACTAAAAGGTGAGAGGGAAAGCGTGGCTCCTTTTTCTCTTCCGGGACTGCACGCGACTGGGCTGAACCAGGCGGGTGTGTGTGTGTGTGTTAACTGAGTGTATTGTCCAGAGAGTTAACAGAAAGAGAATTCTACAGGTTGTGGCGTCTGGGCCTGTTTCGAAGGGATGTTTGAGAACCAGGCGGTGGGAGGAAGACAGAGGGGGCCTCTCTACGCTGGGCAGCCGGAAAGGCAAAAGAGCTGCCGATCCTTTTATTTTCATTTTATTCATTAACGTTTATCCCCTGGCCCATTCCAGGACTAAGGTGCTAATGTGAGTGGCTGACAGCATTTCAAAACAGAACCACAGCTACCCATCCCCGATCACAAAGGTGTCAGTTGAGGAAAACATTCGATCTCAGATATCCAAAGAAAAATTATCTTGGAAAGGGAATCAAAATGGTAGCCGCCAGGATGTCACTGGTGTGAGAGCTTTCCTAAGTCCTCTTAAAACAGTGTAGTTTTTGCCCGTTTCCTGAAGGCGAGAAGGGCGCATCTGGCGCATCTCCACAGGAAGGGCGTTTCATAACTTTGGGGCTGCCACTAGGAAGGCCTGGTTCCTGGTGGTGGCTTTCCGGGCCTCTTTAGGCCTGGAAAATACACAAAACCTGGCTCGGTCGGGAGACACGGCTGGACAATCTTAGATTATTTCCAGTGAATTCATAGCCAGATTCCTTTCCTATGGCCAGCAGTCCCAACACTTTGGAAGAAAGGGGTTTAGGCGACCTTGACATAAATCCTCACAGGGCTCATCCTGGCGCACAAGAATGAGAAACCCCGCCATGTCATCTTTGCTTTTGAGGGTCCGACTTTCCCCGTCACTGTTGACAGAGTTTGTTGATTTGCGGGAAACCTGTAAAAAAAAAACTTGATTGGCAGAGGCTGTGCTTCGTAGACGTTTGAGAATTTGAACTGTTGGTGGATTAGCTGGTCCATTGGTCCTTCCCCACCTGTTGGGTGCACGAGAGAGTTTTGTCGCCCAAAGCTAAAGGGGGCTGAATTTTTGTGCAGAATTTTTACGTGTTTTTACAAATTGGTAAGACCTTAACAGTCAGGGCTGGAGTAGGGAGGCGTTCCTTCCTTTGCTTCGGAGGTGGTGATCAAGAAAAATTCCTTGTTTGCAAATAAGTGGATGAGAATGAAGAATTCCAGTGAAAATTTATTTTGATCACTTTGGACGAGGGAGGAGTCCTCTCTTGGGAGCAGCCAGAGCGCCCGTTAAATCCCATGCAAGGTAAACCAAGGATCTACATTAAACATTAACCAGACTGGTTCCCTGTGACCTTTTCTTGCTGAAGCACGACGGGAACCTCCCTTCACCCTCCAGAATATTTTGCTGTCCTTCCAATATGGCCAGAAAACTACTCTGCTCCACGTCCTCACAGATTTGAACGCTTGACTCGGGCAGAGCAGTAAGAGGAGGCTGCTGATATGCCCGAGGGGGTGTTCAAAATAAAATACCCAGGGTATTCTGTACTCTGAAAAATTGACGCTGTAGTTTACCTTGGTCGGGCCACCAAAAAAAGCACAAGAGGTATCCTGTAAATAAATTATTCTATTGTTTACCTCCAGTGGAAGGTAAACAATATACAGCTGAGGCTGTCCTTCCAATATGGCCAGAAAATGCCTGCTCTCGCCTAATTTCAGACGCTAAGGAAGGTTGGACCTGGTTCGTCCGTGGATGGGAAAACCACACAGGGACCTCCCGGGATTTTCCCGATGGGGCTAGAAAAGGTTCCTTGCTGCCCATCAGAGCCAGCCATGCTGGCCTCGCTGGATCAAGAGTCTGACTCCATTCTCAAAGGCACGAGTCCTCCAGGCAAGAGAGGGAACCTGGATTTCCTCCCCTTTCTAACGGAAACACAGCTGGGGATGAAAAGCTAGGGTCATGATGGCAGTTGGGTGCAGCCTGAAACCTTGCCCGTGCCCCAGATTCCTCCTCGGCTCCGTGGATGTTGTCAATCCGATTACACAACATGCACGTGATGACCGGTGGCACTGTCTCCCTCCCTTCTTCCCGCTGCCTTGTTGTCCTGAGATGATTTTTTAATCCCTTCCCTGGCCTGTTGAGTTGCCTTCTTCGTTTGGGGGAAAAAAGGGATCTTCCGCTCAGCTGTCTCCCCTGGAGTGCAGCCCCCCTTCTCTTCCTCTCCGCCAGAGGGAGGAGGGCCCTCTTGGGGTGAGGTGGGTGGGTGGGTCAGGTGCAGGGGGCATCCCCCAAGGACCCTGAGATCCATCTGCCAGCCTCTGGTGGAAGTTTCTCGGTGCTCCCACTTGCTCCAGCGTGAAGGGAGGCAGGAAAGAACTTCCTCTCCCCTCCCTGTTCCAACACCTCAAAGATCCCAGACATTTCTTGAGAGAGACCTGAAGGAAACTGGGATGGTAGTGCCAGGAAATGCAGCAGCCGAGAGAGCTGAAAAAAATCTCCATGTGATCATACACATCATTTGCTTATTTATATTTTTCTCGACCTGTGCCCTGCCTTTAGCCATCATGAAACAGTTTCCAGGCTTTATGGATCCTTCAAGGCAATGCTGCTGGGCTGTTACGGCTTCCGTATTGGTGTATTTATGAACAAATGCAAGAATAAACCCAACAGTAATCTTCACCGCTAGTTACTTTCCTGTGAAAACTCTTCGGTTTGAGAACTGGCTTTCAGGTTCTCAGACAGACAAGCTTTCAAACCTGCACCTTTCTATAAGGGGTTTGGGAATCACAGACTCCAGAAGAAAGGGGGTGGTGGGGAAATTGCTTAATGATCTTAACTGTTGCTGTGTGTTCGTTTTTGTGTTCCGCCTCACCCCCGCTGAGCGTGTAGCATTTCAACGATAACACCCCACAGGGATTTGAGAGATGAAGTCAATTTAGATATTGTTTTTATATATTTGTTTCCTTTGTGTGTTGTAAGCCGCCTAGAGTGGTCAATGTGACCAGATAGGCGGGGTATAAATGTAATAAATAAATAAATACATAAATAAATTCAGTTTGGAGTGATCCAGAAACCTTTTCTGGGTCGGCCTCGGAATAACCACAATCTCTCATTTGTTAATATCCTTACATTCTCGGGACTGTAAGCTGCATGTATAACTAGCAGTGGCGACCTCCAGACAGGTAGAGGGGCTCAGAGGCCATGTTCTGAAAATATGATTTGGTGGGAGACTTAAGAGACCATATATGTGTGCCATGGGGCAGGTAACCTATAGAAAGCATGAAGGAGTGTCCATTTCTTGAGACGTCTGATTTGGCCACCGTGACACATGCCCTAGTTACCTCTCGGCTGGATTACTGTAATGCGCTCTACATGGGGCTGCCTTTGGATAGTGCTCGGAATCTCCCGCGGGTCCAAAATGCCCCAGTCAGATGGCTGACTGGAGCTGGTTAACAGGGCACATATAACTCCCCTGTTACAGTAGCTCCACCTGCTGCTGATCCATTTCCGTCCACGATTCAGAGTGTGGGTTTTAACTTCCAAAGCCCTAAACGGCTCGGGTCCAAACTGTCTTAAAGACTGCATCTCCCTCTATGAGCCTGCCGATGTGTTAAGATCACCAGGGAAGGCCTTTCTCAGTCCCACTGGCTTCACGGGTCTGCTTGGTGACAACACATGGAGAGGGGCCTTCTCTGTGTTCACTCCCGGACTCTGGAACTCCCTTCCACTGGAGGCCAGGATGGCCCCATCTTGGTTGTCCTTCCCCAAGCAGGCAGAGATGTTCCCCTTCAGGCTGACTTTTCCTTAGCAACTGGCAGTCTGAAAGGATTTTTTTTTAAGTGGATTGCTGTGCTGTTTTGCTTTTAAATGTCTTTTCAGTTTTGATTTTATTCATGTTTAATAACCATTGAATCCTTTCTAAATATTTGTTATATTGACTGTTTTGAGCTTTTAAATGTGGTCCTTTTAATGATATGAGCCGCCTTGAGTCCTCTTAAGGAGAAAGGCACGGGGTAATGGGTATTATTATAAATAAATCTTTTTTTCCTCTTGTTTTCCAGCTTCGAAAGCATGCAAAGGCTTTGTGATAAATACAACCGTGCCATTGACAGCATTCACCAGTTGGTAGGTACCCCTTTCCGTCTGTCCCACCTTAGCTCTGTTGGCGCCTTTTCCCTGTTCAACAGGCTGGTATTGAATTCTGAGCATCTCAATGTCTTGCAAGAGAAAATGTCGCTGAATTCTGTAACACCTCAGGTGTAACATTTAACACTCCAGAAATAACAGTCAGGTTTATAAAGTACAGATCTGCTCCTTTGCATTTACTGTCCTCGAAGCCTATCGCTGGCCACCATCCACAAACGCAACAATGCTCCCAAGTTCATTACTGTAGACTTTTTCTGCGTCCAACAAAATTCAAAGCATGTCCGAGTGGAAGGCTACCAAGATTGATTTTATGTACAGGATTCTTTTAAAGATTGGTTTTCCTCTCTTTTCAATCAGGGCAAGTCACCTCCTTTTTCAGGGCCACAAAGTGTCATGGTTTCAGTCAGCAGGCAGATAAAAATCACAATATTAACAATGCTTTGTGGTCTTGTGCTGGTTTGGCTAGAATTCAGGAAGGGGAATGGAGAGGAGGACTCACAGCGCACCAGAGAATATAAACTCTTGTGCCATACATTGCTTGCCAACAGTATCTCCCTTAGAGGTTCAATGAGAAGCGTCCAAAGTAAATAAAAATGCAATTTTTCCAAAAGAAATCCCAGTCAAGTCTTGGGCGCAAAGCTTTGGTTTATTCACAGGTATCATCAGGTTTCCACCTTTGGGGCTAAAAGAATTTAGGGTTGCTTTGTTTGATCCCAAGAGGATTGTGGTTCTGGAGGAGTCATACAGTAGACTCAGATTTGCGTGGTTTTGTTGAAGCTTAACGAAGATGTATTTAAATGTCTGGAACCAATGATTTTGTCTTTGCATTTAGCTTATCTTCCGCAGAATTGAAGATGATGATTATTTTTACTGTTGCTATCACTCTTACCATTACTATTATTATCGCAGTTTGAAATGGGGCGTCTTTCTGGCCAACTTGTGGGGCTTCTACAAACTTTTACAAAAGATAGTGAGGTTGTAACTCTGACTCTTAGGTGATGATGTACTTCTCAAAACACACTTGAATTTCTGCTCCGCCGTTCAAGGCAGAAGCAGGAAAATCACACCACCTATAACTGTGTTCAGTGGCCCTCCATTAGCCTCTGACCTCCCTCTTTTCCCTGCAAAAATAGGTTTCTCACCATGCCTGGGACACCAGTCCCACCTCTCCACTGTTTAGACACAAAAACTACCCTTAAAAATACCCCAGCTGTTGAGCTGCTGGGAATGAGATCAAAAAGTCAAGGTGACCCACTCATGAGTGCTGAACGTAAAGCTGGTGTTCCCCTCCTGACTCCTTGGGTGTTTTTAATTCTCTAGTGGAAAGGAACCACGCAGCCCATGAAACTCAACACCCGCCCTTCCAACGGGCTCCTCCGCCACATCCTTCAGCAAGTGTACAACCACTCGGTGACTGACCCTGAAAAACTCAACAACTACGAGCCCTTTTCCCCTGAGGTGTACGGAGAGACCTCCTTCGACCTGGTGGCCCAGATGATCGATGAGATTAAAATGACCGAAGATGACTTTTTTGTAGATTTGGGCAGTGGTGAGTGGCCGGCGGAAGGTCCCCTCTCTGAGCCGCCTTCTCCTCAAACCATCTCGTGCGGGATTTTCTGCTGATCTCTATAAAAAAAATTTTTTTAAAAAATCCGCACTCCTCCTATGCAGAGTTTGCTTGGAGAATGAACGAACCATGTAAAGTCTGACTTGCTTTGAGTGCCGTGGGGGGAAAGTCACGTGTGCCCACTTGTGCTGCAACCTGAGTGGGGTGGGATGGATGGATGGATGGATGGATCAAATGATGGATGGATGGAGCTAACAATGAATGGATGGATAGATGGATGGAGCTAATGATGGATGGATGGATGGAGCGAACAATGGATGGACAGACGGATGGATGGACAAACAGAAAGATAGATGAATGGGGCTACTTCAGTCATCTTAGAGATGAGGGCAGAACACAGAGGAGCTGGCATTTTTCTCTCTCATTCTCCGCTGAACCCAATCCACTTGGCTTTCCATGCTGTGTCCTCACAGAGCTTCTGACCCCCAATCATCTTCTCTCCCCTCTGCCCCTTTCCTGCTCTCTGCTCCTCTCCTAGGTGTGGGTCAAGTTGTCCTCCAGGTTGCCGCGTCCACCAACTGTAAACACCACTACGGCGTTGAGAAAGCTGACATCCCGGCCAAATACGCCGAGGTGAGAACCGTCTTGTTTAGAACGAGGAAGGGCTCCATCGTCCCCCCCTCCCCTTCTCCCAGAAGGGAACCTGGTGGGGTCCATAAAGTTATTCTGATTTAGTAACTGCAAGGTTTTGTTTTGTCTCCACGTGGCCCTGTTTTTTTCTCTAGACGATGGACAAAGAATTCAGAAAGTGGATGAAATGGTATGGGAAAAGACATGCAGATTACACAGTGAGTGAAACCAAGTGATTTTTAAAAAAACCTTTTCTCAAAAGTTTAATTTAAGGCAAAATAATTCTGCTCTTCCCACATTCAGCAGAACCCTCCATATGGATAACGCCACTCTCCTCCTCCACCCTGTTTAAGCAGGGAAATCTTAAAGGCTACACTTCATTGTGGGCTACCGATCACATCTGGTTCCTTTTAAGACCGAGAAACAGAGTACAGTCAAACCGAGAATGCGTAATGCAATACAACGCACATTCTGGAAGCCAATTTTTATGCTTTGTTGCACGTTGTGTGTTACATCTTCAAGGAAGCTGAAAATTCAGATTGAAGCGAACAGACAAGGATCGCAGAAATCCCCCCGCCCATAAACAAAACACGAAAAATAGGCAATACTTTTTGATTTTATTTTGTTTGGACTGCACAGCTGCCCTTTGCTTCAATGGAGCTACCTAATTAACATGTAATATTGCGATGGAAGTGCCAGAAAAACCCTCTGGGACTTCCTTGCTTCCTCCCCCTCCTCCTATGCATTTCTCTTGACGATCCTTGCTTTGTCACGTGTCCCATTTCACGTTTAACGCCCTTCTCTTGGGCAACAGCAGCTAAGAAGCTTGTTCCCGGTTAGGTAAACTTTCAAAGCACCTCTTCATTTTTTTTTTTAATTCATTTTCAAACTTTCTGGCGGGAACTCTCTAGTTGCTTCGGTTATTTAGAAAAAAAACACACAACCCTCTAAAGCTTTTTGCGGCTTTGGAAGAGAGCCACGTTCCACAGCTTTGGACTCGTGCTCCTTGTTCGTCATTATTCATTGCTTTTGTTTTGTTTTTTGTTAAAGTCATTTTAAAAATAGCCACATGCGGGCTATTCCAGGCTGAAATAACAGCCCTTTGTGAGCCAGAGGGACTGCATGGGGGAGGCTGGAATGAGCCTTACTCCACGTGTGTGTGTG